TGGGCTCGCGGAGCACAGCACGGACGCTCCGCCGGCGCGGGAGTTACGTTCAAAACGAGTTACTTCCACGCAGGGGAGACCTTCGGGCCACCAGAGGACTTTTTAAAGTGCACAGTAGAGATACACTTAGAGCAACTCCTAAAACCCGTTAGGGTGGACGGTTTGTTACTTGGCTGGCGGGCGACCTCGCTGCTGGACAAATACACGGCCCTGGAAACCCACTAAATCATCAGAATTCACGTCTAACTAACACGATAAGCCCTCCCCTCTCCTCAGCAGGGTCACTCTTTTACAGCTTTTGGATGCCCTTTTTCTTTTCGTTTGGCATTTATATATATGTATGCGTGCATTTGTTGATGAGCAAAACAATTAGAAATGACTACCACAAGTTACCGCTCATTTCTCCTACGGGGGTTGCTAAAAGTTTCGAACAAACTTTTAGCTGTTCAGTTTTCCCAAAGCGAATCTTTGCCTTGTGGGGAAACAAACTTTACAAGCCACTTGCCTTTCTTTTCCAGTGAGCTTTCCGAAATAGGTTCGGTAGCAACTGTGGTGCTGTCCACATCAGTTGGAGCACATTGGTAAACCGGAATTTCTGAGGCTCGGGCGACCACAATATCGGTACTGCTGTCGCATATAATTTCAGCACCATGGTCAACGAATATTTGGGAAGGTTGGCAGCTCCTTTCTTCCGACGTTGAAACGGTTGTTGAATCACTTTCTGAGAAAACGACTCTCTCTCCCTCAGGGCGCTCCATGATCCAACACGTTGGGGGCTGGTGTCCTAAAATGGCTTCCTTCCAGTTTGGTCATGTGATCTGAAAGTTTCCAGAACTCTCTTAAGATGACATAAAGAACACATTGAAGCCCCGTGTGGTGGTGCACTCTAGTGACTCCAGAACTTGGGAGTCCGAAGCAGTAGGATTGCCCCGAGGGCTAGGTTCAGCCTAGGATACATAGTAAGGTCAACGCCACTCTGAATTACATAGACAGACCTCTCAACAAACAATCAAGAGTTGGTTGTTTCACCATTGAATGGTCTTGATACCCTTATGGAAAAATCAATTGACTATATATGCAACGTTTTATTTCTGGGCTCTCTGTTCTGTTGGTCTGTATATCTTTCCCTATGCCGATACCACATTGCTTCGATTACTACAGCCTTACGGTAATTTTTGTGATCTCAACTTTATTTTATTTTATTTATTTATTTTTATTTTTTGTTTTTTGAGACGGGGTCTCACTACGTAGTTGAGACTGACCTGGAACTGACTGTGTAGCCCAGGCTGGTCTCGAACTCAGAGATCCTCCTGCCTCACCCTCTCGAGTGCTGGAATTACAGGCATACACCACCACGCCTGGCCTATATTTTATTTTTAATTGACAAATAACTATATATTTATGGGATACAATGAAATATTTTAATAAATGTATACAATGTGGAATGACTGTCAGAGTAATAAATGTTCATTACCTCACATTCAATTTCCTTCTGGTGAAAACTTTTAAAATACACTCTTGGCAATTTTGAAGTATTCGCTATAACCACTTTTCTAGGCAATACGTCACTAGAGTTTAGTCCTCCTGTCTGACAGAAACTGTAGCTTTTCGCTAACATCCCCCTTTTCTCCACGCACCCTCTTTCCCCAGGCTCTGGACTCTATGGATAACCGGGGATTTAGCTCAGTGGCACCACACCTGCCTCATAAGTGCAAGGTCCTGAGTTTGATCCCCGGTACCAGAGAAAAAAATTCATCTATGGATGGAAACTTAGGTGATTCTATACTTTTGCTATCATGAAAAAATGCTACAATAAACATGGGAATGTGAATATCTCCACAGGATACTGATTTTAATTCCTTTTACTACATACACAGAAATAAAATGGTAATCATTTGGTAATTCCATTTTTTGTTTTTTGAGGACCCTCCATACTGTTTTCCATAATATTTGTATTTTTTTCACTTTTTACCTTGATGAATTCTTTTTTTTTTAATTTAAATTGAATTTACTGGTACATTCTAGGTAGACAGTACAGTTACATTCATTACTGGGATCTTGTACCTTCACATGTCAGGTCTTGGTTCTCATTTTTTCCCCTTGTCCCCACCCTCCCTTCACCCCCCCCAAATTCCATTTTTACATTTTCTCATATTTTTTTCCTTTTTCCTTATTCCCCTTTCCTTATCCTTCTCACTGTCCCTACACCTTTAGTCCTTTTCTTCCTATTTCACGTCGCTAATTGTCCCTTTAGGATCTTGAGTACTATTTTAGCTTTTCACACCAGAGAAACTATTCAGTATTTGCATATGTGTGACTTATTTACCTCACTTAGGAGTATATCCTCAAAATGTACCCATTTACCTATGAATGAATCTAGTTTCTCATTCTTTATGGCTGAGTAGAATTCCATTTTATAGAAAAACCACAACTTCTTTATCCAGTTTCCAACTGTTGGGCAGATGGGCTATTTCCAAGTTTTAGCTATTACAAACTGTGCCGCTATAAATGTGGGTGCACATATATCACTGTGGTATGATTATTTTAATTCTTTTGGAAAGATACCCAGCAGAGGGATGGCTGGGTCAAATGGAACCTCTAGTCCAAGCTCTTTGAGGTATCTCCATATTGATTTCCATAGTGGTTGCACCGGTCTGCACTCCCATCTACAATGGAGAAGGGTTCCTTTCTCCCCACAACAATGCCAACATTTGTTATTGGGTGATTTCTTGATAGCAGCCATTCTTTGTGGGGTGAGGTGAAATCTCAGTGTTGTTTTCATCTGCATCTCTCGAATGACTAGTGATGTGGAGCATTTTTTCATATATTTACTTGCTGCTTTTATTTCTTTGTCTGAGAAATGTCTGTTCATTTCAGATGCCCATTTATGAATTGGGCCTTTATATTTGGGGGGGCTGATTGTTTTGAGTTCTTTATATATTCTAGTTAATAGTCCTTTGTCTGAGGAGCAGCTGGTAAAAATTTTTTCCACATTGTAGGTTGTCTTTTAGTTCTGTTGATGGTTTCTTTTGCAGCGCAGCTTTTTAAAAAGATGAGATCCCAGTTGTTGATTCTTTCTGCTAGTTCCCGTGCTACTGAGGATTTGTTCATAAAGTCTTTTCCTATTAATTTACATTCCCATCAACAGTGCACAAGGGTTTCGTTTTCTCTACACCCCCACCAACACTTGTTACATTCTTTTTTCTAATAGCTGTTCTAAAAAGTATGAGGTGATATTTCACTGTGGTTTTCATTTGAAATTCCCTGATCAGAGATGGTGAACATTTTTTTTTCCGTATTATCTGTTGGCTATTTGTTTTCTTTGAGATGTATCCATTAGGTCTTTTGCTCATTTCTTATTAGATGTGTTTTGTTTTGTTGAGGCATGGTTTTGCGATGTAGCTAGACTGAAGTTGAATTTGCTATATAGTCCAAGCTAGCCTCGAATTTGATATCCTCCTGCCTGAGCCTCCTAAATGCTGGGATTACAGGCGTGCACCACTACACTTGAATTATTTACTTTCTTGGGTTAGTATGTATCAAATTTTGAAATCAACAAGTATGAGTCTTCCAGTTGCATTCTTTTCTAAGATTGTTTTGACTATTCAGGGTCCCTGGAGATTTCACATGAATTTTAGGTTATATTTTTCAATTTCGGTAGAAAATGATATCTAGAGTTTGATAAGGATTGCAGTGAATAAGTAGATCATTTGGGGCAGTATTTCTACTTATATTAAGTCTTTCAATCCAGGAACACATATCTTTCCATTACTCATGTATTATCTTATTAATATTTTGTAGTCATTTGTCTTAGTTTTATTCATATTTTATTATTCTTGATGTCAGTGTAAACTGGGTTTTTTCTTATGGTTTATTATTATTATAGCAGAAATGCAACAGATTTTTGTGATTTGGTTTTTTTATCCTACATTTCTGAGTTCCTTTATTAAATTCAAAATGTGTGTGTTATCTTTTAAGGTTTCTTTAATATAACATCATGTCATCTGTGAACAGAGATAATTTTACTCATACCTTTCCAATGTGGATGTCTTTTATTTATTTTACTTCCCTAGCTGCTCTGGCCAGAACTTCCACTATGTTTAATAGGGGTAGTGAAAGTGGGCATGCTTGTCTTGCTGCTGATGTGGCAGGGGAAAGCTTTCAGTCTTTCGCCATTGAGTATGATGTGTGCTGTGGGTTTTTCACATATGGTCATTACCATGTTGATTCCCTTCTATTCCTAGTAGGTTGAATTTTTTTAAAAAAATCATGAGAATACATGTCTGTAATCCCAGCACTTGGGAGGCTGAGGCAGGAGGATCACTGCAAGTTCAAGGCCAGCCTGAACTACATACTGAGTTCAAGGCCAGCCTGAACTACATAAAGAGACCCTGTCTCAAAAAAAAATTATGGCAGCCTTGAATTTTGACTAATTTTTTGTGTCAATTGAGATTTATCATATGTTTTTCCCTTTGTTCTATTAACGACTGTATTACATTGATTTTCATATATTAGAACATTCTTGCATTCTAGGAATAAATCCCACTTGCCTATGGTATACAATTCTTTTAATAAAATGCTGAATTTGGGCTGGGAACTTAGCTCAGTGGCACCACAACCGCCTTGCAAGTGCAAGATCCTGAGTTTGAGCTCTGGTACCAAAAGTAAAAAAAAAAAAAAAGTACCAACCTTACTCATTAGTCTGTATAATTAATATACACTATGAAAAAAAAGGACTGCTGTTAATTCTTCTTTAAGTTTAGTAGAACTCATCAGTGAGCCCTTCTAGTCTACAGCTTTTCTTTTTTGAGAGATTTGTGATTACTGACTTACTCTCCTTACTAATTACTAGTCTGTTAAGAGTTTGTTTTTAAATATAAAGTTTAAGTAAACAAGATGCTTGACTTGAAGGGAAAACTGGGATTCAGTTTTTAGAGTAATTTACCACTACCTAAGCCAGGCGTGATGGCGCATGCCTATAATCCCAGCACTCAGGAGGCTGAGGCAGGAGGATCTCTGTGAGTTCGAAACCAGCCTGGGCTACATAGTGAGTTCCAGGTCAGTCTCACTACATAGTGAGACCCTGTCTCAAAAAAAAAAAAAACAAAAAAACAAAACAAAACAAAACAAAAGCAAAACCACTACCTAAAGACAAATTGTCTTACATATAACAACTATTTAGCAAAAAAATTGTCCCTGGCTTTACAAGAGTATTAAATTTAAATATTAATATTAATTAAGTAAACATTAAAGTTTTCCAATCAGACAAGGAATGCAAGGATTTTTATTTTGCTGGTATTTGTTAAAAGGGAGACAAAAAACTTACTAAAACAAGTGGAATGAACACGCCACTGATGGAGGAAGGAGATAATTTCAAAGAACCAGTGTCATTCCCCATCCCACCTCCATTTAGTTAAAAAATAACAGTATGCTTGGTCCCAACAGTAGTTATTTTATGCACAATAAAGAACTAGAGAAGAAGAAAATGAAGTAATAGAGAAAACTATATTGTTGTAGTCAGGAAGTGGTAGAACCAAATTGTGGTTGTCTCATTGAGAATGTATTTATTTATTTTTTAATTTTTATTTAAAAAAATTTTTTTTCGTACTAGGGATGAAACTCGGGACCTCATGCTTGTGTGGCAGGTGGCAAAACCACTGAGCTAAATCCCCAGCCTATTTTTAGTCTGTAGAAAGAGTTCTGAAGTCAAGTAGTGGGTTCACTTTTTTTTTTTTTCATTATTTTCAGACAGGGTCTCACTATGTAGTGAGACTGACCTGGAACTCACTGTGTAGCT